CTCATCTGATATAACATTGTTCTCCCCCCACTTAGTTATTGTTGCTGAATTATAAAACATTATTGATGTTCCACAGATGACAGAATGATTGAAGGAGTGAGTATGACTGTTATGGGTTGCATGCGAGGTGTCCTCCAAAAGCTCATGTGTGAGACAATGCAAGAAGGTTTAGAGGAAAAATGATTGGTTTATAAGAAGCTTAATTGAATCAGTGAATTAATTCCCTGATGGGCATTGAGTGGTAATTGAAGGCAGGTGGGATGTGGCTGGAGGAGGTAGGTTCTATATATGGCTTTGGTGGCTTTGGTACTATATATTTGTATTTGGCAAGTATAGGTGTCCCTTTGCTTTCGTCATGTGAGCCTCCTCCTTCCACCATACTCTTCCACCATGTTGTTCTGCCTCACTTTGAGCTCCAAGGAATGGAGCCTGCTGTCTGTGGATTGAAACCTCTGAAACCATGAGCCCCCAAATATACTTTTTCTCCTCTACAGTTGCTCTGGTCTGGTTCTTTAGTCACAGCAGCAAAAAAACTGACTAAAACAATGATTGAACTGGACGCCTACCTGTAATCCTAGCAGTTCAGGAGGCTGAGGCAGGAGGATCATGAGTTTAAAGCCAGCCTCAGCAAAGTCAAGGTGCTAAGCAATTCAGTGAGACCCTGTCTCTAAATAAAATACAAAATGGGGCTGGTTTTGTGGCTCAGTGGTCAAGTGCCCCTGAGTTCAGTCCCCAATATCTGCTCCCCCAAAAGACTGAAAGGTAAAGTGACGTATCAGGGTAGCACAGAGCATAGAGTTGGGTTCTTTGTCTCATGAATTTGAAGAATAAAATCCACAAAGGGGAGAGCAAAGTAACAGGATTTATTAGAGTAATACAAAGCAGATCTCCCAAAAAGAGATCCTCAAGAGCAGCTGTTGTCTAATAGTTTATATAGAATTGTAAGTTTAAGAAGTTAGCCCCCTGCCCAACCCTGGGTAAGGTATTCTGTGTCCATGAGGTATTCATGCAGCCTTTAGTACATTCAAAATATTAATCAGGCATTTTTCTTTCTTTGAAGAGGCATGGACTTCCTCAAATGTCCTGATTTAAAAATAGCCTTTTTGTAAGTTTCTTAGCAAATAACTGCAGGTGCCCTTTGTGTTCTACTGTCCTAGAAGTTACCCAGGCGCCCATCTCCCCATCCTCCCAGCCTTATCTCTTCCTCTTAATGTCATCAGATCTTGGCAGTCAGCTTGGAACGTTATTTAGTTATTTGTTTTTGAGATAGGGTCTTAATTGTGTTGTCCAGGCTGATCTTGAACTTGGACTCAAGGGATCTTCCTGCCTTGGCTTTCTGAATAGCTAGGGCTATAGGTGTGTGCTGCCATATCCAGCTTGTGAAGTTTATTGCTTTAATGGTAGTATGAATAAAATCAGGCTCCTATTAAATATATTGCTATATGGTGTTCTGCAGTTCATTTGGACAACTGTGTTGTATGTTCTTGCTTCTCAGTGAGATTGTGAATTGAGCAGAATCTGGAGAAGCAAACATTTGGAATATGACAAAGATTTAATAACCATGAAGTATTAAAAAGAAATTCTCATCATGCATACCTGTAACCCTAGCAACTCAGGAGGCTGAGGCAGAATGATTTTTGCAAGTTCAAGACCAGCCTGAACAATTTAGTGAGCCCCTCAGCAACTTAGCAAGAACCTTTCTCAAAAAATTAAAAATGACTGGGGATGTGGTTCAGTGATAAAAGACCCCTAAGTTCAATCTTTAATACATAAAAAAAGAAAAAAGAAATTCTTAAAAATGAGCAAGAAAAATGGGCAAAAGATGCAACAGGTAAATAAAGGTCTTTTTTAAAATTGTGTTTATATCACAAAATGAGCCATTTAGCCACTTTTAAGTATACAATTCAGTGACATTAATTACATTCCCTGTATTGTGTAACCATCACCATTATTTCCCAAACCCAGACACCCATTATCCTAGATACTCTTACCATTAAACAGTAACTTCCCATTCTTTCTCCTCCCTTCCCCTATTCCCCAGTAACCTCTACTTTCTTTCTTAGTGAATTTGCTTATTGTAGGTACTTCATGTGTGAAATAATAAATATTTGTCTTCTTGTATCTAGCTTATGCTTAGTTCACTTAGCATATTTTCAAGGTTCATTTATGTTGTAGTATATAACAGGATTTCCTTACATTTTAAGACTGAATAATATTCCATTGTATGTATTGCATTTTTTTATGGTTTTTTTTGGAGCGGGGGCAGGGGTACCAGAGATTAAACTCAGGGGCACTCAACCACCGATCCACATCCCCAGCCCTGTTTTGCATTTTATTTAGAGACAAGGTCTCACTGAGTTGTATAGTGCCTTACAGAGGCTGAGGTTGGCTTTGAACTTTAGATCCTCCTGTCTCAGGCCTCCAGTGCTGCTGGGATTACAGCGCCCGGCTATGTATTGCATTTTTTTAATCCATTTATTCATTATGGACACTTAGGTTGCTTCCATCTTTTTTTGGCTTTGTAAATAATGCTGTAGTGAACACTGGTGTAAAATATCTGTTTGAGTCCCTGTCAGTTTTTTTGGGTATATACCTTTGTGTGAGGTTGCTGAGTCATAGGGTGACTCTTTAACTTTGTGAGGAACTGTTTTCTGCAGTAACTGTACTATTTTACATTTTCAACACCCATGTTTGGAGCTTCCATTTTCTCTATCTTTTCAAACACTGATTATTTTGTTATTTTCTGTTGTTGCTTCAGTAATTTTCTGGGTGTGGAATGGTATCTCATTTTGTGTTATGATTTGCATTTCCCTAAGGACTCATGAGGTTGAACATCTTTACTTGTTGCTGGTTTGTATATCTTTGGAGAAGTAATTATTAGTCCTTTGCTGTCCCCCGCCCCCTGTCCAGTATTAGGGATTGAATCCAAGGGTGTTTTACACCTGAGCTACACCCTCAGCCCTTTTATTTTTTTATTTTGATACAGGGTCTCAGGTGCTGAGGCTGGCCTGTAACTTGTGGTCTCTTTCCTTAGTCTTCCCAGTAGCTTAGATTATAGACATGTGCTACCATGCCCAGCCTTCCTTTGTCTATTTTTTTGAATTATGTTTTTTATCTTGCTTGTAAATTAAAGAGTTGTATATATATCTTATCTCATCCTGTGGATCTTTTCATTCTATTGGTCTTTTTGTCTATTGGGCACTGGGGACTGAATCTAGGGTTTCACACATGCGAGGCAATTGTTTATCATTGAACTACATTCCAGCCTGTTAATGTCCTTTGATAGGAGAAAGATTTAATTTTGAGGAAGTACAATGCATCTGCTTTATCTTATTTATTTTTCTTTTGTTTTGGATGCTCAGGAATTCCTGCAGTTCCATATAAATTTGAGAATTGGCTTTTCCATTTATACAAACAAGGCAGTAGGAATTTTGATAATGGTTGCATTGAATCTGTAGATTGCTTTAGGTGGTAATAATCTTAAAATATTAAGTCTTTCTACCTAATAATACAGGATGCTTTTCTACTTATTTTAGGCCATCTTTAGTTTCTTTTAGCAGTACTTTGTAATTCTTAGTGCAAAAGTCTTCAACCTCCTTGCTTAAATTTATTCCTAAGTATTCCTTTAGATGCTATTGTAAAATGGAATTGCTTTCTTAATTTCCTTTTTGAATTGGTTCATTGTGGGTAAATGATTTGTGTTCTTTTGTACTCTACATGTTTGTTGAATTTGTTTCTTCTTTTAGGTAATTTGCATTTTTTTTTTTTCCAAGTAACTTTCTTGTGGAACTTTTTGGGACGTTTTATATGTAGTATCATCATCTGTGAATAGAGAGTTTTACTTCTTCCTTTCCAATTTGGATTTTTTTCCCTATCTTTCTTTCTTTTGGGGTGGGGGAGTGTTAAACCCAGGGTCTCACACGTGCTAGGCAAGTACTTTACCACCACTTCACCTGTATTCCCAACTTGTTTTGCTTTTTTTTTTTTTTTTAAACTTAATTGATCTGTTGGGATTTATTTCATCAACCTATCAGGAATATACAAGGATGTTACAACTTTTTATATAAAAACAATCACAATAATACTTGTTTGTTTTTTTTCCCGTAGGAAGAATATTCTTTAATTTTGTTCTTTGCTTTTGTTTCATCTTTTTTTTAGTACTTGGTTTATAAAAGGACAGTTTTGTTGTATTTATGTGATGAAACAGTCTTCAGTCACTAAAAATCATGTCTTTCAAAAATATTTTAAGGGGCTGGGGATGTGGCTCAAGCAGTAGCGCGCTCGCCTGGTAAGCGTGCGACCCGGGTTCGATCCTCAGCACCACATACAAACAAAGATGTTGTGTCTGCTGAAAACTAAAAAATAAAAAAAAATTTTTTTTAATGTTTTAAAAACAGCTTGATATGTGAGTGAAAGCAAGATTAATCTTTTTTTGGTGGGGGCTGTACTGGGGATTGACCCTCAAGGGCACTCAAACACTGAGCCACATCCCCAGCCCTATTTTGTATTTTTATTTAGAGACAGGGTGCTCAGGGTGGCTTTGGACTCAATATTCCTATCTTAGCCTCCTAAACTGATGGGATTATAGGTGTGCATACCACACCTGACCAAGATTAACCATTATAGTATTATATTTTTAATATCTTAAAAAGCACTAAACATGATTAATGCAGTAAGTAAAGAAATGAGATAAAATTTTTATCCTTGGGTGACTTTTACTTGGTTCTTCCTATTTTTCATTGCTTTTCCAATATTATACATTGAATTTTTTACATAATCAGAAAATTAGTTTTTGGTTTGTAAAAAGTAGATCAATAGTATTATTCTTTATTAACCCACTTGCCTCAGGAGATGAATATATATAGTTTATAATATGATGTTAACTTCTATTTGAAAGTAGTTTTCAAGTTCTTTCATGTATTCTGAGCAGTTGTATTGTTTTTAGAAATGTAATCAGCTAATGGTATGCTTTATTTGCCTGTTTTTAATTTATACCACAGGGTAAAATCCTTTATAAAGTTCGATGGAAAGGATATACATCAGATGATGATACATGGGAGCCTGAGATTCATTTGGAGGACTGTAAAGAAGTTCTTCTTGAATTTAGGAAGAAAGTTGCAGAAAACAAAACTAAAACAGTCAAGAAGGATATTCAGGTATCACATTTCTCTTTTGGCTTTTTGTATTTAAGTTTATGATGAATTTTACTGACATTAACTGTATAAAAAATATCTTACAAGTAATTAAATATGCAATAGTTTATTGTAAATTTCATATAGTTAATTTATTGTCACAGACTGCTTTCAGTAATTTTTGCAGTACTTTTCTGTCTGTAACCAATCTGTAAATTGCATTTCACAAACTAGTTTAGTCATTGTGTTAGTCAGCTAACACTATAATGAAATACCAGAGATAAATAACTTATAATAAACAGAAAAGATTTTTGTTTACTGTTCTGAAAGTTCCAGTTCAATATCACACAGACCATTCCTGTGGGGGTGTTGGATGGCAAAGGTGGGACATGTGGAGGTGCCATCTATTTGCCTTCATAAGCCAGGAATCAGGAAGAAACCAGGGTCTGCAATCCTTTTTGAGGGCATAAGGACTTCCTACTAGGCCCTCACCTTCTTCCAGTGGCATCACCCTGAGGACCGGGCATTCAACACATAGTTTTGGGGGAGATAGCAGACTTGAATGTTGGTTAATATTTTCTTTTAAGAGTGGGATAGACCTGTAACTCAGTGATAAGAGTGTTTGCATCAAGGCCCTGGGTTCAGTCTCCAAGCACCTCAAAAGATAAAAGAAAAGAAAAGAAAGAGTAACCTAAAAGAGAAGAAAACAAAGCCATATCATAATTTAACTATTTCATTGGCTATACATAGCTCTTCCTGATGGTAGTCAAGAGTAATCAGACGAACTCAGATGAGTCAAACTTCTGTACTTAAAAGTTTGGAAAAAGATTGGAAGGTGGACTGAAGTGGGATAATGTTAAACTCATGCACAAATTTTGTTATTTTTGCTGTATTAATTTCCCTCATTATTTTATCCTTTATTCTGTCATTCCATGAATAATTGAGTTAGTATAATCTTATGAGTTTTTCCATTAACCTTTTACTAATTTCATTTATAATTTCTCTTTACAAATTGAACCAATTTGTACTCAACTTCTCATTTTTGCCATTAATTTTCTTTTTCTTCTTAGAAGTAATTGTCCTGGGCTGGGGTTGTGGCTCAGTGGTAGAGCACTTGCCTGGCATGTGTGAGGCACTATGTTCAGTTCTCAGCACCACATATAAATAAATAAAGTCCACTGACAACTAAAAAAATATTTAAAAAAAAGAAGAAGAAGTAATTGTCCATCTCTTCCTCCTTCTATCTTATGTGCTAGGCAGCAGTCTACCACTAAGCTACATCCTTAGCCTTTTAAAAATTTTTATTTTGATACAGGGTCTTGCTGAGTTTCCTAACTAGCAGTCTTCCTGTCTCAGCCTCCCAGTCATTAGGATTACAGGATCCTGTGTGCCACCATGCCCTGCCTGCCAAATATAGTCATTTCTTAGAATATTGGCAAGGATTCTTGAACTTATTAGTTAGTAACTAACTTATTGTTAGTAAATACTTGATATTATTAGTAAAAACTTATTAGTAAATACAGTGAAGGCACACTGTATTTCTCACATAGACAGCTGACTCTGGCTTATAATTTATTTTATTTTAGTGTTAGGTATCGAACTCACTGCCTTTACACACAGTAGACAAGTGATCTACCATTGAGCATCTCTAGCCCACTTAAAATTTATTGTAAGGACTGAACATTGATTCCCTTTCTCCCTACAGTTGGAGATTTTTAAGAATACCTAGTGCAGGGCTGGGGTTGTGGCTCAGAGGTGGAGCACTCACCTAGCATGCGTGAGGCACTGGGTTCGATCCTCAGAACCACATAAAAATAAAATAAAAATATTAAAAAAAAAAAAAGAATACCTAGTGTTTTTTTGAATGGCCAAAGCTATATTAGGACCCTGTTCTGATTATGTGCAATGCTTGTTAATGGTAATAATAGCACTAACAGAAGCAACTGGTATTTGCTGAATAGTAACTTATACACACTGGGTTAGCATTCTGTATGGATTAAGGTTAGAAACTGAAGTTTACCTAAGTTAACTAGCCCAAGTTCACCCACTTTCATAGAACTAGGCAACTGCACTCTTAACCATTATGCTAGGTTGTCTTTTAGTTTGGGCTCGTAACTTGAAATCCAGTTAGAAGAGTGGAATTGCCGATTTTTAAAATTTATGCTATGGTGGCAGGACTTTTAATAGTATGTTTTTTTTTGAAGTGAATGCATGTCCAAACATTTTTTACTTTTTTTAGTTGTAGATGGACACAATACCTTCATTTATTTATTTACTTACTTATATCATACTGAGGATTGAACCCAATGCCTCATGTACTAGACAAGTGCTCTACCACTGAGCTACAACCCCAGCTCCATAGTATAGTTTTTAAATTACCAACCAAAATGCTCAGTTTTATAATTTTTATAACAGAAACTCTTTATAAAAATGAGTTCAGATTAGATTGTTATTTCCCCCAAAATTTTTCCTTATGTTGTATTTCATTTTTCTAGAATAGATACTACTGCTACCTTCCCTATTTTTTTTTTGAGAGACCGAAAGAGAGAGAGAGAGAGAGAGAGAGAGAGAGAGAGAGAATTTTAATATTTATTTTTTTTTTAGTTTTCGGCGGACACAACATCTTTGTTTGTATGTGGTGCTGAGGATTGAACCCGGGCCGCACGCATGCCAGGCAAGCGCGCTACTGCTTGAGCCACATCCCTAGCCCCCCTTCCCTATTTTTTTCTGTTAAAGCATATACATGTACCCACATGTCTGCTTTATTAAGCAGTTGGTTTATATATAAAACTCAAAATTTAGGCCTTTTGTTCAAAATCTTTCTATAATATATTTCTTCCCTGTCTTTGTAAGAAATCTTTTAAAACTCTCAAGAAACGCTCAGTGGTAGAGCGCTAGTCTAGCATGTGTGAGACACTAGTTGATCTGAGCACCATATAAAACTAAATAAAGGTTTGTGTCCAACTACCACTAAAATTTTTTTTAATGTAAAAAAAATAATAATAATTCCCAAGTAGTCTTGTCATATGGAATATTAACTTTATGCTCCCTTTACATATGGTGGTGTTTAAATTTTCATTTATTAATTACTTTTTGAACCTCTGGTTAAAGCCAACTTGTGGTTCCTTTCTTTCTTTTTTTTAGTACTGAGGAGGATTTGGGGTGCTTTACCACTGAACTATATCCCACCACCCTTTTTAAAAATTTTTTTTATTTTGTGACAGGATCTCATTAAGTTGCCCAGGTTGGCCTCAAACTTGGAATTCTCCTGTCTCTGCCCTGAGTTCCTGGGATTGTAGGTGGGAGCCACCACACCCAACCTCCTCTTATTTTTAAATTATTGATAGACAAGTGTGTTTGAAGCTCATTCTTGAGCTTAAAAAGGATAAGAATATCCTAATTTTAGGAAAATACTTCTTTATTTGAAAGTTTCTTTTCCAAAGCTATCTTTATTTTATAAAATAATTGAAACTTCCAGGCATTAATAACATTCTGAGTTTTTAATTTATGTGACTGAAATATCTGTTTTCTTTATCAGCCTGTGAACTCTTTCATTTCCAAAGTATTCAATTATTTACTGTATGACACTTGGGCCTAATCATTGAGGTCTTATAAGTGAATGGGCATGTGGCAAGAAATACATCTGGTCACTGGGCTTTTCCCTCTTTAGCAGAATCATTTGGCCATTTACAAACTTTGTTATTCTTTCATTGTAAATGTAGAAATTGAGTCAGTAAAAGAAAAATTGCATCATTCAACATCTCTTCATCTGTGTTCATGCGTGCCACAAATATGTACTACCTATTGCTCTCCAACATCTGATCCAGATTTCTTCCTCTTACAAATGACTTCTTGACTGATGCTTCAGAGTTTTTTGTTTGTTTGTTTGTTTGAATGTTTTAGAGGCATGTCTTTCTGGCATTTTTTTTTTTTTTTTTAATTCTTCTTTTTTATAGTACTGGGAATTGAACCTGGGGCCTCATACTTGCTAAGAAAGTGTTCTACCACTGAGCTATATATATCCCAAGCCTTCTGGCATGTTTTTGTTGTTTTTAGGATTTTGTTGTTTTTGAACTCCAGTTCTATAACTTTCTTTTCTTTTTTTTAAATATTTTTTTAGTTTTAGTTGGTACAATATCTTTATTTATTTATTTTTATGTGGTGCTGACGATCAAACGCAGTACCTCTCATGTGCAAGGCAAGTGCTCTACCACTGAGCTAAGCCCCAGCCCCAAAACTTTCTTTTCTTTTTTTTTTAAGAGTCTCATGTTACGCAGGCTGGCTCAAATTCTTGGACTCAAATGAACCTCTGGACTCAGCCTCTCAAGTAGCTGGAATTACAAGGATCACACCACCACCATGCCTGACTTGTGACTGAGTTCCTTAGTCTTCTTTTTTCTTAACAATTTAACAAAATATTCTATCCAAATCATTTAGTACTATTTATTTTTATATGAAATGACTTTTCCTTAAGTTTTAGAAGGCAGAAGAAAACAGGTTCTTTTTAGTTCCACGGCTCCTGAGCAGCTGCCTTTATTATGTATTGAAGGGTTCAAAAATATGGCATTACTTTATAAGGGTTTTTTAAGATTCTGTTTCACCCTACCCAACCACCACTGACTTCTGAATTTTCCTTTTTTTTTTTTTTGGTACCATGGATTGAACCCAGGGGCACTTAACCACTGAGCCGCATCCCAATCCCTTTTTATGTTTTGAGACAGTCCTCACTAAGTTGCTGAGGCTGGCTTTGAACTTGAAATTCTTCTGCCTTAGCCTCTCATGTTGCTTGGATTATACGCATGCACTACCGTGCCCAGCTGATTTCTGGATCTTTTCTTTGTTTCTGTGCAGCTTTATCTGGAATTCAGTCATAGCAGTTTCTCCTCATTATGGCTTTGTGCAAGTGACGGGAGTGAGCTTGCTCTGGTTACTTTTTTTTCTTAAAAAAAAAAAAAAAAACATAGCTGGGGATTGAGCCCAGGGCTTCATGTGTGCAAGGCAAGTGCGTTACCACTGAGCTACACCCCCAATCCCACCTCCCTTTTCTGCGACTCTGGTTATTTTGGGGAGTTCATAGTGCATAATTCACTTATGCATAATTCACCTGGGTGAGGTGTTCTTCTCAAAGAATCTGTTATTTCTCACACCACAATCTCCTAGTGTTTTAGTGTTTGCTGTTTTCCCTTACTCCTATATAGGTATGTATAACTGTGTAGATCTTAAAGCTCTTAATAGTTTGTCCCTACCTATTTATATTCTGGAGATAATTTGCCACTTGATTTGTGAGTGTGTGTGTATGTGTGTGTGTCTATCCAACACAGTATATGCTATACCACTGAACTACAATTCTGACCCCAACCACCTAATTTTGTTATAAATGGTGTCTGTGGGATTTTGTTTTGCAATTGTAGTTGCCTTGTTTTTTTTTTTTTTTTTTAATTTTTTAAAAATTGTTGATGGACCTTTATTTTATTCATTTATTTATATGCAGTGCTGAGAATCAAACCCAGTGCCTCATAAATGCTAGGCAAGTGCTCTATCACTAGACCACAACCCCAGCCCAGTTGCTTTGTTTTTTATGGAGTGATTCAGGGAGATTTAAAAATTTAAGCCAGTACCACCTTGTTCCCTCTATCTTTTTAACCTTGGTGGCATCCATTTCTTAGGCACTGTACGTGAAACATTTTAAGTTTACCTGTCTTTTTTTCCCCTACTTTCCATTCTCCAGTTATTTAAGATAAGACAGTTTTGGGAAATGGGAACTTAAAATAGTTTTCACAACATTTTGTGTCTATACAAATACCTTATTCTTAATTACTTTTTAAATTTTTGGAATTGGAAAATATAATTTAATAGGAAATATTTAACATTATTTAACAATCAGGGAAGTAAGATTTCTGTACAGCTTGCTTGGTCCATATAAAACTGTGAAACGTAACAGCAAATTTAAGAACATCCTGTATTTCAAAGTATTTAAAAATTTTTGTCTTTGGATTATAACTGCTTATAACAATGTGAAAATTACTTTCTTATGTGTTGGGGAAGTTTGAAGTTAAAGTCATATACATGGGGCCTCAAGGGATTTGACATTTTCTATTTCTCTGTTCATCTATGCCATCCCTCTCAGGGTCTTACATGTGCCAAGCAAACACTCTCGCTTTGAACTATATCTCCAGCTCTTTTTAAACTTCTGTTTTGAACTGAAATCTCACTAAATTGTCCATCCTGGCTTCAAACTTAAGATCCTCCTGCCTCAGCCTCCTAATAGATGGGATTATGGGCATATAACTCCACATCTAGCTTGTATTTTACCATTTTTTTTAGTTGATGCTTATTATTACTATCAGGACCTATTTGCTAAATGAGATATAAGTAGTATCTTTTTTAAATTGGTGCATTATGGTTGTACATAATGGTGGGATTTGTTGTTATATATTCATACATGCACACAATATAATATAATTTGGGCAATATTATTTCCCAGTATTTCCCCAATAGGTAATATTTTATACAGCTTCAGTGTAGGTAATGTTAAGAAGTTGAATATGCTTTAAAAAATTTCTCCCAGATTTTATTAGTATCATTTTTTTTTTTTTTTAAGGTACTGGGGATTGAACTCAGGGGCACTCGACTACTGAGCCACATCCCTATCCCTATTTTGTATTTTATTTAGAGACAGGGTGCTTAGTACCTTGTTGCTGAGGCTGTCTTTGAACTCCTGATCCTCCTGTCTTACCCTCCCAAGCTGCTAGGATTACAGGTGTGCACCACTGCTCCCGGCAGTACCACTTTTTTAAACATTTAAAATTATTATTAGTTTTTCAAAATCTTTAAAATTATGTTAGTGTTCTATCCTTTTTTGTATTTTATAGAGACTATCTTTAAATAACGACATATTTGAAGCAAACTCTGATAGTGATCAGCAAAGTGAGACAAAAGAAGATACTTCCCCAAGGAAGAAAAAGAAAAAAATAAGGCACAAAGAAGAGAAAAGCCCGGATGATTTAAAAAAGAAAAAAACAAAGACTGGGAAACTAAAAGATAAAACCAGGCCAGAGCTAGAGAGCTCCTCTGAAAATTTTGTATTTGATTTAAGGACAAAGAAAAGAATTTTGGAAGCCAAAGAAGAATTAAAGGACTCTAAGAAGCCCAAAAAGGATGAAATCAAAGAAGCTAAGGAATTAAAGAAAGTTAAAAAGGCTGAAATAAGAGATTTAAAGACTAAAATGAGAGAAGATCCCAAAGAAAACAGAAAAACAAAAAAAGAGAAATGTATTGAATCTCAGCTAGAGTCTGAATCAAGTGTGCTTAATGATTCTCCTTTTCAGGAGGATGACAGTGAAGAGTTACTTAATGACAACAGAGAAGAGAAACAAAAAATTAAAAGTATAAAAGATAAAACATGCCAGGAGGCACTTCAAGAGGGTAGTTTGGAGAAACAGTTGGATGAAACTGTAAGTGCTGATGAGGATGCTGATGTCAAAGCCAAGAGGAAAAAAAAGAAGTTGAGGAAGACTGAAGAACCAAAAGAGAGCAAAAGGCTAGAAAACAAGAACATCATCTTCTCAGAGAAAAAAACTATACCTAAAAAACAAAGGAATCAAGACAAGGGTAGAAGTAACACAGAATTAGATAAACTGAGCCCACCTTCATCTGCTCAAACACAGAAGGATTCCAGGACTGGTGGGGAAGAGAGAGTCCTCAGGTCCCCTGACTCAACTGAGGAGGTAAGGGTAGTAGGGATAATCTTAGAGTACATAAATACCCAAAGCAGACCAAGGCGTGTCAAGTGATCGGGAGGTTTCACAAATAATGAAAAGAAAATGGTAGAACTATGAAGTATTTCTGTCATTAGGGAATTGTTGTATACTCAGACTGTAGCTTCATGAACTTAATTTATTAGCTTTTTCCATCCTACTTGGTATTTTGCTCTATTGTCTTAAGAATATAAAACTTAAATACAGGGTACATTAACATTATAAGTTTTAATTCATACAAAATTATTTATTATCATTTGTCCCATTGTTATAATAAAATTTTTTGTAGGATCTTTCATACAAATGAAAATATTTTCCAAGTTATTAAAGTATCCATATGTAGTATTTATCAAGAGCTATGATAACGACTACTTTCTTTATGTCCATTATTCCCAGTTTTAGGAATTTATCTTAAGGCAATCATTTTAAAGTGGGGAAATGCTCTCTACCCAAAGATATTTATGGCTGTATTATCCTCAGCAGTGAAAAAACAATAAAATACTGTCTAGATATGGGGAAAATGTTTAAGAAACTGTATCAATTTGAGAAGTGTGGTATCCATTGAAATATTGAGGTCAATGTAATAAAAAGGGAAAACTTTAGAAAATATGGAAAAGAAACCATACATACATGTGAAAAATGAATTATATATAAGGATGAAGGGAGAGTATGGAGAAATAAAAATAGTCATGTTTGATGAGACTAGGTGAAATATTCTTGGAATTTTATTTTTTATAACATTTTATTTTTTAAATATTTTTAGTTGTCAATAGACATGTATGCAGTGCTGAGGATCAAACCCAGTGCCTCACACATGCTAGGCAAGTGCTCTACCACTGAGCTATAACCCCAGCCCAACATTTTATTTTATTTTTTAACATTTTTTTTTAGTTGTAGATTGACACAATACCTTTATTTTATTTATTTATTTTTAGTGGTGCTGAGGATGGAACCCAGTGCCTCATATGTGCAAGGCAAGTGCTCTGCCACTGAGCCACCATCCAGCCCCCAGCATTTTATTTTTTAACAATAAAATTCCCAAAGAAGAGTTGGGAAGCTGGCATTAGGTTTTTTGAATTTGATATTGTGTAAGTTATCAAATAGTTGAAGGATAATATTGATTGAGGAAGCAGTGTAAAAAAGATTAAATGATCAGTGATCATGTACCCTATTAACATATAGGTAGATAATAGCACCATGTACCTATCTACATTTTTCAGTCTTCAAATCTACACTATCAGCTCTTTATCCATTCTTGTTTTGAGTTTTAAATATTTTTTCAGGAGAAAGAGACCAAAAAAATTGAACCTAAAGAAAAGTACCAGAAAAGACATGATTTAGACAAGGAAGAAAAAGGTCGAAAAGAGCCAAAGGGATTGAAGAGTAAGTGTAAATAAAAACATTTTGCCAATTTTGTCGCCATCTTTTTATACAAAGAATTTAATTTCCTGTAAAGATAATCTCTTTTTTTAGCCTGCAGTGTTATAAATCGGAAAATTTTATTCACTGGGGAATAGTGAATATTCACTTAGAGCCTTCTACTACTTTTATTTAACCAGTTACCTAAATTTATTACACAGGTGAAATGTGCTTATCTGGAATGTTTGAGACCAAAAGTATTTCAGATTTAGAATTTTTCCCCCTGATTTTGGGATATTTGCCTATATGTATAATGAACTATCTTGTGGATGGGACCCAAGTCTAAACACAATTCATTTATATTTCATATAATCATTTATGTGTGTGTGTGTGTGTGTACATATAATTTGAGGGCAATTTTATACAGTATTTTTAGTGTACCTGTGTGTTTTTTTGTTTGTTGGAATATTTTTTTTAGTTGTTGACAGACCTTTATTTTATTTGCTTACTTATATGTGGTGCTGGGAACCAAACCTCATACATACAAGGGAAGTGCTCTAATGCTGAGCTACGACTCCAGCCCCTGTACTTGTATTTGACTATGACATGAGGTCACCTGTGGAATTTTTCTCTTTTGGCATTGGTGGTGCTTAGAAAGTTTCAGAATTTGGAACACTTTAGATTTCAGATTTTTGGTGAGGGAGGCTTAACATGTATAACAGTTTTATGTGTCTGTATTATTTTCTTTCTGTTCACTATGTTCTTCCTACCTTTCAGAAGTATGATGGTAGAATGTTAGAATTACACAGAGACAGGAAATTCATTGTGGCAGGAAAGTAAAGGTGTCTTTTAGTGGATGCTAAATGAAGCAAACTTTTTTGTTTACTATGTTAATTGTATCAAACTCTCATTTATATATATAAATATATTGAATACACATTTTGATCAATTCAAGATACTTAATAATAGAGCAGGGTGCATTGTTGCATATCTGTAGTCCCAGTGTCTTGGGAAGCTGAGGCAGGAGGATCATAAGTTTGAGACTAGCTTTGGCAACTTGCAAGACTCAAAAATTTTTAATAAAAGGTATAGGAATGTAGCTCAGTGGCAGATTGCCCCTAGATTCTTTTCTCATTACCACATGCAAAAGACAATATGTAATAATTAAGAATCCATAACATAAGTTACTATTGGAACCAAGTACTTTAGTTTTAAAAAATCACCATTGCTGTATTTAAATAAACCCCACCAAATAAACAATTTATATACCAAAAGTACTTAGAAAATATGTTCACTTAGAAATACTGTTGTACACCTGTAATCCCAGCATCTGAGGAGGCTGAGGCAGGAGGATTGCAGTTTCAAAGCCAGCCTCAGCAACTTAGCAAGGCCCTAAGCAACTTAGTGAGATCCTGTCTCAGAGTAAAAAATAAAAAGGGCTGGGGATGTGGTTCCCCTGGGTTCAATCCCAGGATAAAAAAAAAAAAAAAAAAAAAAAAGTGATTCTAAATAGTAATTATAATCTTTTCTCTGGAGTAATGTTAAAAGTTAAATGTTAACTGAAGTAATGTTAAAAGTAGATTTTTTTTTTCTCTTTTTATTTATGGTGCTAGAGATGAATCCCAGGTCTTTTGCATGCCTATTAAGCACTCTACCACTGAGTTATATCTCTAGTCCTAAAAGTAGATTTTGTTCTAAGCCTAGGCTGGAGTTTGGCAGTGGTAGCAGGTAATTAAAGCCAGACAGGTGCATAGCTATTTTGGAGGATCACACATAAAGTGACTATATCTTAAGTTTACTATCTCTTGAAAGAATAATTAGAGATTTAAAAATATTTTATAATTAGTTCTACTTTGTTAACATTTTTCTTTGTGTGTATTTATGTGTGTGTGTGCATGTGTGTTTCTGTCTGCATGTGCTTGATTGGTAGAGACTAAACCCAGGGCCTTGTGATTGCTAGGCAAGTGCTCTACCACTGAGCTATAGCTCCAGCTCCCCTCCTTATAACTTGTATATCAATTTCAGGCACATTTTTTTGCTGTGAACTTATAACCTCAAATGAAACTAATGTTCATCCCATTTATAATGGTATTTACTGATGGGTCCAATTTTCAGTATCCCTGTTAGTAAAACCTGTCTACTGTGTACCCTGAGTTTATAATAGAGTCCTTTCCAATTGTTAAGTACTTTGCCAATTTTCTTATCTCATACATGCTGAGCACATGTTGTATCACTGAACTATACCTCCAGCTTTTCTTCTCACTTAAAAGTGAGAATTCAAAGCTAGTAGTATCCAGTCATTTTATTGAGTACAGATTCAGGACTCTGGCAGCCTGCTATTTCTTCCATTCACCACCAGAAACCATTTCTGTCCTAATTACAGGATGCATTAAAAAAAAAAAAAACATTTTTAATACCTTTATTTGGCTTATTTATTTTTATGTGGTGCTGAGGATCGAACCCAGGGTCTCACACGTAAGAGGTGAGCACTCTACCACTAAGCCCCAGCCCCAGGATGCATTTTTATTAGGCTGATTTCTCTGGCAGTAGGAAAGTTGTCACATACACATTTATTTTTAACATTTAACTTTAACACCAAATAAAATTATATTGGCCTGATGTGGTGGTAAACATATATAATACCAGCTGCTCAAGATGACTAGACCTTTGTCACAACTTTAGGGGAATAGTTCAGAATACCTGGACAGCTATTCACCCCGGACATCCTTTTGATAACAAGCTGCTAATAGAAAAACCAGTTGAAATCACTTTGTGACTTTGATAGTAAATCTGATCTTGCTTTATAACCAAGAGAAATATTAGTAAAAATTAAGAAAATACTTTATAACTAATAAGAACAAATAAAAAAATATTTTAAAAATTTAAAAATCCCAAGGTTGGGGAAAAAATACTTATTCTTTAATACTAAACCCAGATTTTCTTTTGATTGCAAAAGAAATTTACGACTCATACTTAACATCAGTTTTAATTTTTGAACTAGCATTTAAAGAAATCAGAAATGCATTCGATTTATTTAAAAAAACTACAGAAGAGAAAAATGATGTTCCTGAGAATAATCGGAAAAGAGAAGAAATACCACTTGATTGTAAAACCACAGAAGATCATAAAACCAAGGAAAACAAGTATTCATTTAAAGAGAGGAGGAATACCAGAGATGAAACTGACACTTGGGCATACATTGCTGCAGAAGGTGATCAGGAGATTTTGGACAGTATGTGCCACATGGATGAGAATTCAGGTGAATTTGTTTGGCATTGTTTTGTAGAATTTCTGGGTAATGTACTGTATTATTTACTCTTTTCTGACTATAATTCTGATCTCATATCAGAAAATAACAAGATTTTATTTGCATCACTGGATAAGTCTTTTGTATATTGAAGATCAAGTCATTCTTTGACTTTTAAATGAGGTAACATATTTTCTAAGTTTCTGCTCATACGTTTAGTGCATTTAGAAATTATAAAGTTTTCTGATTTTCTAGCCCAGTTGTGCACCGTTAGATTTCTTTTTGAAAATTGTCACATACACATTTATTTTTAACTTTTAACTTTGTAGTAAATAACACCAAATAAAATTATAGTGGCCTGATGTGGTAGTAAACACATATTAATACCAGCTGCTCAACCTGAGACAGGAGGATTGCAACCTCAAGTCTGGCTTTTCTCAAAATAAAAAGTAAAAGGGGCTGGGAATGTAGCTCAGGAGTAGAGCACTTGCCTACCATGTGCATAAGGAAGTTTAATCTGATAAGTAAGAGGTTGTCATTTGTAAGTCTTGATAAGTAGATTGAGAATTTTTTATTTTATTATTTTTTGTTGTGCTACGGATTTAACTCAGGGGTTCTCTACCTCTGAGCTATACCCAGTCCTGTTTTTTATTTGAGACAGGGCCTCACTAAGCTACCAGATGGGCCTCAAATTATTGGATCATCCTGCCCCTCAGCCTCTTGAGTAGCTGGGATTTCAGCTGACAATAATAATTTGAATGCATGACAAGATATTCTGGGAGATCCTCTTTTAGTGCAAAACAACTAGATCTTAGATACTATGTAAAACATATTTCTGGATGTATTGCTGAGCTTGTAGGAAATTGGGTTAATTTCCAGGACCAGTAGGCAAGGTGGAGGAAGATGGTTGCTCAAGAGTGCAAATGCTAGAGATAGCACTATTGTTAGGACACCAAGCAATAAAGAGCAGATGCAAGCTGTCTGAGAGCACTCCCATAAACCCAGTTACTTGAGAGCCCAAGGCAGGAGGATCACAAGTTTAAGGCCAGCCTGGGTAACTTAGTGAGACACTATCTCAAAATAAAAAATAAAAATGGGCTTGGAATGTTTTTTACCTCAGTAGTAAAGTGCCTTTTGGTTTAGTTCTTAGAATTACCCAAACAAAACCAAAACAAAACAAAAAAACAGTGGGGAACATCAGTAAATTTAAAAATTGGTTCCTTGAAAAGACAAGCCTCTGATATTGTTGAAAAGGGGAAAAGAAAGGAATGAAATCATAATGTTTCAAGTGAAAAAAAGTTACAGATTATGTACAGATTAAAAGATAAAGGGATTTTGGGCTGGGGATATGGCTCAAGTAGTAGCGCTCTCACCTGGCATGTGTGAGGCACTGGGTTCGATCCTCAGCACCACATTAAAATAAAATAAAGATATTGTATCCACCTAAAGCTAAAAAATAAATATTAAAAAAAAAAGATGAAGGGATTCTATGTGCAGTTTCTTAGGATAGATTTGAAAGCTGAATAACATGGGAAAATTCCTGGAAAATTGTAGTTTAACAAAACTGACCTAAGAAAAAATAGACTGAATAGTCATAATTATTAATATGAAATAATTTTTATTTTATGGGTTTATATTCAAGGGCTTTACTGGTCTTATGTGGAAGGGTTACCATGCAAGAATGAAAAAGCTCTGTTATTTTTGTCAGAATAATTGGTTATTCATGCAGACAAAACCCCATGGATGAACATGAAATCCTGATGGAATGAAGCCTTGACTATACAGATAATATTTAGATGTTAGGTATTTAGATGATTAAGAAGGGCAATAACTTTGTGACCCTTGGTGTAGAGAAATGTTTAAGACAAAAAATTTATAAAAGAAGAGTGATAAAATTGACTATAAAATCTATTCACTATAGCTACTATTTAAAAAATGAAAAGACAAAGCATTGGTATCCAGAATATTTGAAGAACTATAATTTTGTAAAGCTCAGAAACAAAAACTTTTTTTTTTAGGGGTATATATTGTTTGTGGCAAAATTGTTTTAAGAAAGGGCCTGACCAAATCAGTCTAAACTAGATTCTGGATGGAAATAACACTGTGGAGGGGCAGTTAGGGGTGAAGGTACAGGTTCTCTGAAAGACTGGTCACAGATGCATACTTTGATTGTTTTGCTTCACAACATGCATTCTTTGTTATACATCTAATTTTTATTAAAATTAGAGAAAGATAAACCTATCATGTCCAGAAGTAACAATACAGAACATAGTATGAATAAACATAGATTTTTAAAATCACTTTGCTTCATTAGAGAACAGAATCTGAACTGTAGCTAAAGTCTTTTCAATGGTTCTAGTCTATTTGTTCTCTCTTACAGTAGTCCTGTGAATTGATGGTATTATCTCAATTAGTATGAATCTTCCTCTGTCCTGTTCACATGGTTGCCTGGTGCTGTGATGTTGGCTTCCTCTGTGACTGGAGTGGCGAGGGGCGGGGACTCTGATCTGTGTGAAAACCAGGCCTATCATTTTCTGATGTGCTTGACAAATCTCAGAGCTATTCTAAACTTCTCTCATCTTTTTTTTTTTTTTTTGGTAGTTGTAGATGAACAGCATAAATAAATGTTTTAAAAATTTCATATTTCACCATTTTACAATTACAAGTTACCCATTTATCTTTATATCTTTGGAATACCTAAATGTAGATAGTTTTTATTATAAAATTCCTCAAGAGAGTCAGGAATTTTATCAGTTAAAGATGGAATTATTTATTAACCTATGTTAAAAGTATACATAAAGTTTTGGTTAAAACACCACAAAACATTGTGGGTTTTTATAATACTTCAGAAAAGTGTATGTTAATAAGGAAGGCCCTTGTATATTCCAGATGGTAGGCAACAGATTTTGAGTTTGGGCATGGACCTGCAGCTGGAATGGATGAAATTAGAAGATTTTCAAAAGCACCTCGATGGAGAAGATGAGACTTTTGTCACAACAGATACAATTCCAAGTAGTGAGTGGTTTTGGAATTATTCAGTTCCCTTTCACAAATATATATATATATATATATATATATATATATATATATATATATAAATAAAAATCTAATTCACCTTTCCTTTCATTTTAGACTTGTTGAGGGATGCTGTGAAAAATGGGGATTATATTACTGTAAAGGTTGCACTTAACTCAAATGAAGAATACAACCTGGACCAAGAGGTAATATGTCTTTGAAAAATCTCAAGGAACATGGAAAATAGCTCTTTTGATATTTGAGTGGTACATGTCTGTAATTCTATTGACTTGGAAGGTGAGGCAGGAGGATTGTAAGTTTGAAGCCAGCCTCAGCAATTTAGTTGACACCTTGTCTGTAAGTTTAATAAGGGCTGGGGATGTAGCTCAGTGGAAAGTTCCCCTGAGTACAATCCTTCGTGCCAAAAAACAAACAAAAATTTGATATTAGTTTTTTTTTTTTTTTTGAGGTGCAAAAACATTTTATTTGTTGAATAATTATATAGCTTGACAGCTTCACTCGGTGTCATCAGCAATTGAATTCACACAACATGTTTGTCTTTTCTGTCTAGGTGGGTTTAGCAGGTTATATCTGACAACAGTCCTGTGTAAACTGCTGCTTTTAAAACTGTTCTCTTCCCAGTATCCTTTTCATTCTCTCAATCTGCCACTCTTAAAAACTCATTTTTCTTCTCTATTTTCTTCTACATTTTAAAACTTGCTTTCAAAATAAGACCCAAGGTGGATCCGGAGTGTTTCAGGGTATGGTCCTGGACAAAATGACTAGCAATAGAGCCCTTAGTTAAGAACAATAATCATGAATAACAAGAATCTTAAAACATGTATTTAAACTCTAATATTCATAACTTCACAATAATAGAGACTTTTTTCTAAAACTTTTCATCAGTAAAGGATTCAGCTCATATAAACATACTCTAAGGATTCTTCTTTTGTTTACTGGCAACATAATCCTTGCTGAGCTTTCTCATCACATCCCCATGGCTGATCCCAGCTGTCCCTTGAAACACCACTCGGTAATTCTCCTACACGTATTTGGCAAATGGTCTCACATGGGGCTCAATGGGGGTTCCATCTTTACGAGTTAATGGCAGCATGACCAGAGGCCCTCTGCATCTGAAACAGATAAAGCGTTCTGTGTTCAACGATTTGGTGTAGTGGCCAACCCTGGTTTTGCACTGAGTACATTCATAATTAATCTTGTAGTTAATTGTATAGTTATGGCAACGAGTGACCCTGGGCAGCTCGGGGTGCACCGCATTGGATTTTCTCTCATAATACTTCCATGCATCACCATGAGAATCTCGGACACCATCAAGCAGCCAGGAAGCTGCATGGCATATTTCATGGATCAAAGTATCACGGAGGTGGTCTGCAGAGTCACAGACTTTCAGAGAAATCTTGATCTTGGCATAGCGCTCCCTTTTGGGGTGTCGTGTCTCATTAGTGGTGCATAAGCCAGCAGTTCTCAGCATCTTTTTATTCCAGGTGATTTCTATTTTCTCTGGCATCTGACCCGCTTCTTCTGTGCTTTTGTTTTGATCTTAAGGGACTCATGTTTTTCACTGCTGCTTGAGTCCAGAGAAAGAACACAAACAAATCTGGCCCCCAATGAGTTTTCCACCAAACGCGCCCCAAACCCTGTATCAACCCACACCTCTACTAGTGCTTACAACGACCTCACCCAGTTTTTTTCTTAATAACAAAAGTAATGCATATTCATTTTGTAAAATTCATATATTGTATAGAGCTGTATAAACATACAGAACTTATAAATCCAACCTCTCAAAATGACGATTTCTTTTGGTTTTGCTCTGTCTGGGCTTCGCTCTGGCTTACCCTCTGCCTCTGTGAAAAATGAAAAAGTACTGTTTTCATGTGGCCATTGTGTGTGTCCTTTTGGTGGTGGCCCATTTATAGCAGTTGCCCATCTTTTCTTTGTTGTTGGGGGTTTTTTCACACTAGTGTATATGTGTTTTTTATGTAGAAGCGTATCAGCCCTTTCTTCTTAGTTTTTTTTGTTTGAAGTCTTATATTGCTTAAAGAATTCTTACTTTAGGATAGTCACATCTGTCAGTGCTTTTGAGTGTCTACTCTCACATTGAAAAGATGATATCTTCTGTTTTGTTTTTGCTTTTTTTGTATATTTTTAAGGTTTAATCCTTTGGGATAATACTTCGGGAAAAAATGTTAGAATTTTGATTAAAACTGCATAAAATATGTAGATTAATTTGGCAGAGAACTGTTTTTTATTTGTATCTTGAGTCTTCCATCTATGAATACAGTAACTTTGTACATTTGACTCTTCATTTATATACTTAAGTTACTTGCTTTGGATTTTCTAGGTAGAGAATTTGATCCATCTGCCCCCAAATAATTCAACATTCATTTTTACATCATGCAAACTGTTGTTGATGTGTTTTTAGAATTTAATACACGGATGTTGTAAAGTTTTAAAAATTATGCCAACAGTCATGTGTAAAAATAGTTCTAAAGGTTATGGTTTCTAATTATTTTTTAGCATATTGTGGTGAAAAATAGATGCTTTAAATCAGTACCTTTAGTGATTTCGCATTGAAACATCTTCGGTGAAGAGACTTGGTACCAGAAATTTTTTGATTAAAGACTAATAAGCTTTTTTGTTAATAAACCAACAAAGGATTCCAGTGGGATGACACTGGTGATGCTTGCTGCAGCAGGCGGGCAGGATGACCTCTTAAGACTTCTTATCACCAAAGGTGCAAAAGTGAATGGACGACAGAAGAATGGAACCACAGCCCTCATCCATGCCGCTGAGAAGGTTTGTAACTTCACTGTATCAGGAATTTAGTCTGTTTCTGCAGTGAAATATAATGGTCATATGATAACATAACCTTATACTTTGATATTTCAGTTGACCTGTGATATATTATGAATGGATTTTGTTATCATCACTAGTACTTAGTAATTAAATTTTCAAAATGTGATTTATCTAGCTGGAAGTAATTTATATTAAACTTGGCCTCTAAAGTACCAGTACTGATTTCAACATTATTTTTCAAACTGAAATTAAGTTCTGCTCTTGGCTATTAATTAAAATGTTCCCATGTATTAACTTTTTAAAGGATTTATATGCAGAGGTTCTTTTTTTAAAAAAATATTTATTTTTTAGTTGTAGTTGGACACAATACGTTTATTTCACTTATTTATTTTTATGTGGTACTGAGGATCTAACCCAGGGTCTCGCACGTGCGAGGTGAGCGCTCTACCGCTGAGCCACAACACCAGCCCCTGCAGAGGTTCTTATATAGAAACCAATGACTAAACGTCAGATAGCACTTGCTGGCATAGAAGCACATGATTATGAGCAGGTGCCCAAGCAGGCGCCACCCTCAACATTCAACACTATGCTGCTGTGGACCTTTGCAGTGAAGAAACACTGCAAAGTAGTAGCCACCCAACACTTGGGATGAAATCTGCCCAGTGGTTTTCCTGATGACTTAATATTTCATAATTTCTAAAAACTGTGTAAAGAATTTTGGAAATTAAACCTTTTTTTTTTTTTTTAATAGAACTTTTTAACCACAGTGGCTATTCTTTTGGAAGCTGGAGCTTTTGTAAATGTCCAGCAGAGCAATGGTGAGACAGCACTCATGAAAGTAAGTTCCTCAGTCTCTGCAAGTATTCATGTTGGTGCCTACCACTGTCAGACCCTGTGCTGGGGATGGGGAGAACATGGGTACAGAATAGTTCCTGGACTCTAGCAGCTTACAGATGAGTAGAAGTGGCCCAGCAGAGCAGCAGGGTGTGGTGTAGTTAGTAATGTGATTGGAGCAAACATAGGAAAGTGCTCCCAAGCTTGGCCTTGTGGACCCAGGGTGAATCTTAGGGTAGATGTGATAAGCATAAAGCTGTGTTCTGAAAGGATATAAAATAACAGGAGTGCATCAGTGGAAACAGAAAAATAGGAGGATTGCAATTGTTTTAGAAAAACTACAGTCCCATTGTATGAGAATTCTCTGCCAAAAGTGAAAGGAGCTGAAGAGTCATACAGGTCCTGAATGGCATAAAGGGTAATTTATTGGGGACTTTCTGGCAGAAGCATGTCTTGAGTAGCAGACAGGTGGATTCCCCATACTCTAAGACAAGAAGAAGGGGTGTATATGATAAGCCAAGTTTTTGCCTTTCTCAAAAACTATTAACATGTTTAATGGCATAAGACCATATACTTGGCTTTAAAAAAAAAAAAAAAAACTCTGCTAGGAATGGAACCCCAGGCCTCACACATGCTAGGCAAGTGCTCTATCACTAAGATATACCCCTAGCCTGCCAACTTTATTTAGTAGGGTTTGAGATGTGTGCTGGAGTCACATAGTGACATAATGGCAACTACAAACAAGATGGCAGTAATCATGTTAGATCAATGTTCAGAGACATGGGACTAGGAAAGCATGATGTGCTGTCGGTTTGGTATTATTTTGTATTGATAAATCTATTTCCTTTGGAATTGCAGTTTGCAGATGTATTTTGAGTGGCAGGTGGTTGGAGGCCCCCAGTATTGCTCTCTATGTAGCAGGTTTGATTTGCCTCTCAGGGCCCAACCCAGTATGGTTCATTCCTCTCTGACAGTTCCATATTCATGACCTAGCATGGTGTTAGGACATAACAGGTCCAGACACCAAACTGTAGATGGCTCTTGTCTTCCCATCTCCTAACTGGGAGATGCAACTTTATGTAAGTTGTGATCCAAGGATGCAACTTTATGTAAGTTGTGATCCAAGGAGGGATCTGACACCTGGTTCTAAACTTGTCAAGTATGACCAGATCACAGTGTGACTCCTGGCTCTGCAGCAGGCCTGGCACTGAGTTTTGTTCTGAGCCTGCTGCTCTAAGGACACAGGCTACTAGCCCTTTCTGATCTTTGACCACAGTTGGGGTCTAAACTATGTAGGGTTTTTGTTTTTTCTTTTTCATTTTTGGTTCATGAAAATGTCATTTTGTTCAACAGCCTGAGCTTTTGAGTCTTTACTCTTCCTTTATGTATGTTATTGCCATACATGTAAACCAGAGATGGTACCTCAAAGAATCATCTCCTTGACAAACCACTGAGTGCATCTGAACAGCAGGCACTGACACCTCCATAGCAGGGAGGGGAGAGGAGGAGTGGACACCAGCACTTAGTACAGCTTGAGGAGGAACTGGGAATGAATCTTGAGGGGACTTTGGAGCTACTGAAAGGTAGATGGAGAAAGAGATCATCAGATTAAAGGATCAATTGGATGTTTTAATAGTCCTTAGTGATGAGGGAGAATGGATTGGTGAAAAGACTGGCAGTTTTTAGGCAGGCTTCTAAAATTAAGTGAAAAAATGGCGGTCTATACCTAAATAGTGACGGGGTAAAAGTAGATTAGTTCTACAACTTTATAGGATTCACAGATTATGGTAACAGGTGAGGCCTTGTTTTAAGTTGGGAGTGTAAGCAGCACAGAGGCAAGCAGGGCATTCAGCTGTTCGGCAGGCATTTCACTTAGGATGAGGAACCCACAGCCTAGGAGACAGGTGTGGGTAGAAATTCATATGTGTGAGTCATCATTCTTAGTGACAGTAACTGTAGCCTAGCCACAGGTTGAAAATAAGAGACAGAAATATAAGAAAAGCCAAAGTGTGGGAAAGACCAGGGGAGTGAAAGGAGGATGGCAGGTGGGAGTCTGGAGAGCCTGGGCAAAGTGTTGGCAGACAAGTACACCCTGGTGAGTGTGTCAGGGAGGTCTAGTGGTACATGTAGTATGCCGCACAGTTGCTAACACTTGCTGAGACCTGGCCCCCTATTGTCTTGCCCCTTCTCCATCATGCCCTGCCCTTTTCCCAAAGAACTCCTAAACATGTGTGAAAGAGAGACTGACACTAATTTGTAGTTACAGTTTACAAGTGGGTAAATTATTACTCTTTTCCTGACATAGGCCTGTAAAAGAGGAAATTCAGACATTGTACGGCTTGTAATTGAATGTGGAGCTGACTGCAATATTTTGTCAAAGCACCAAAATAGTGCGCTGCATTTTGCAAAGCAGTGTAACAATGTGCTTGTGTATGATTTGCTGAAGAGCCATTTAGAGACGTAAGTATGAAGTGATGGTACCATGGTTAAGTCTCATAGTATTATGTATCTATTTGGACACTTCATAATTGAAATGTGAGACAACTGCTTAGAAAAAGGTTAAGTATGTGTCCCAATGGGTTTCTTTTATTAGTAGATGAATTATGAAAGTCTTAGAAAATTTGAACATAACATTGGCATATCCGAGAGTATTGCCTTAAAATCTTAAGTATGAACTTAATTTGGCTGACATTTTCTCAAAATTATTTTTTAAAGCAATTTTAGGTTTATTGCTGCCCTGCTATTTCCACAGCCTCCCACACTATCATTAATATTTATTTTTTGTAGTTGTACATAGTAACTGTTATTTATTTTTATGTGGTGCTGAGGATCGAACCCAGGGCCTTGCACATGCGAGGCGAGCCCTCTACTGCTGAGCCATAACCCCAGCTCCTGAATTCTAAATTTTATTTTATTCAAAGTTCATACTTTATAATGCAATTTTTTTTTAATCACTTAAGAATTTTCTTGGTGGGCCGGGGGTGTCGGGGGTGTGTAACCCCTCCAAGGTGTGCTCGGCGTGCATTGAGCTCCTGCCAAGCATGTGCAAGTACCCTGGGTTCCATCCCAGGCACTGCAAAAACAACAAAAAACAAAAATTCTTTTGGTAAGACTTGCTAGAAATTCTAGAAATAGAAGCTAATAACTGCAGAAAGTAAAGTGCTTATTTTCTATACAAGAAGTATCTTAGGGTAGGCAGCCCCAGGAGGATGAGCCATTCTTCTCACCACCTAATCTCACTATATTAAGAAATCACTAGGTTCTTGGTCTCTGCAAGAGTGCTGCTGTAATTCCAGACATAGCATCTGTGTTCTGAACAGAAAATACATCTTAGACAAGAAACCAAAAGCCAAAAAGGCCCTGTGCTGGCATCTCCAACTGCCTGCTCCACAGTGTGCCTTATATAGCTGCTGGGAATCTCAGAAAGCCAGTTCATCTCTTCTGTCCACATGGGATAGCTGCAAGGATCCAGCCACTGGCCAGTGTTCCTGTTTTCCAGGATTGAGGGGCTCTCAATTTTGATTTTTCATTTGTCATTAGGCAAGTATTTATTTAAGCACAGTCTTTCTTTGTACCAGGAATATAGAGGCAGCAGTAGGGAAAACAATTCCCATCTTGGAACTTAAATTCCAGTGAGACGGATTCACAGTACATTATGTCAGTACCCAGTGCAAGAGGAAAAGAGCAGAGGAGCAAGATGAGGAATAAAACGTTCAATCTGGGCAGGCAGATTGTTGTTCTAAATTATAAATTGTCTTGTTCTTTTCTATGTTAATATATATTTTCTGAAATTTTAATTGTACAAATTATGGGATACCTTTGTAATAATTTGATACATGTATACCATGTGTAATTATCAAATTAGACTAGCTAACGTTCCACTAAACATTTTTTTAAAGTTCATTAACATTCTTGTTTATGCAGTATAATGCAATATTTAAACTCATCTACATTAACAGCTCTAGTCCTGTCCTCTTACTAGGCTTTCAAGAGTGGCAGAAGAGACAATCAAGGATTACTTTGAAGCTCGTCTTGCTCTACTGGAACCTGTATTCCCAATAGCATGCCATCGACTCTGTGAGGGGCCAGATTTCTCAACAGATTTCAATTATAAACCTCCACAAAACATACCAGAAGGTAAACCTATACTTTATCCTCATGCTTCTTTCAGTTTGAAGTGTCACAATTATCAACTGATTTTCACAACTCTTTCTTTGAACAAAACCTGAAGGAAGTGCCATTATGTATAATAATTATGTAAAATAAAATTAGCAGCAGAGCTGCTGTGGCAGAAAAGAGACCCCACTGAGCCACAATCCCAGGCAATGTTGAAGGGTCCTCAGAATACTGTTAACCCTGTTTAAAATGTATGGGAGTTGAGTCTTAATAATTATAACTGTTTTTAGAGCATTACTAAAAATAGTTTAAATATTCTAAGCTAGAATTGTTACTACTAATAATTTTTGCCCCTTTAAAAAGAAAAGTCTTTCCCCATAAATTTTAGTAAACAGAAATGTAAACTACAGCCCTGCTTTCTAGCCACTGCTTAAAAGCTCCTGTTTAGGAAGACCATGACCCTTCTTTAGGACAAAGAGGCTGCATACAGAAGGTACAGATAACGCTGTCTCTGGCTATAGATAAGAAGCAGGGCTCTGGCTTTTTGTTAAGTCTCCAACCTCTATTTAAAAAGTGTGTATTCATCAGTGAAAAATGTATTAAAGAAAATTAAGTCCAGTTACACCAATTAAAGATAGCCAATTATAATGTTAGTGTTCAGTGAACTCAGCATTGAAGTCATACTTTGTAGTTTTGACTATTCACCCAGACATTATTGGGATGGGCTATTTGATGGAACTGACATGACTAGACTGATGGGCCTACCAAGTTTATTTTTGTTTTGTTAATTGCTGCAAGTTTACAATGTCTGAATCCTATGAAATTCTTATTATTCATCTGAAATCCTACAAAGATGCCCTGTCATCCTTAAATTAATACCCTGATAGATTTTTCTAAACCCTGATCCTTGAATGTGGTCTAAAGACAAGCAGTAGGCTCACAGGCCCAGACTGGCCCTTCTGTCAGTCTTGTGATTTGTAAGCACATTAAAAGTTTTAGATATTTAAATTCATCTACATTATAGATGAGTTTATTTAGATAGACCAACCATGGCTTCTTAAGAGCTACAGTTAATATGATTTTTTTTTTATTGAAACAACTCTTACCTCAGTAGAATTAATGAACAACACTCCTCTAAGACACTTATGTAGTCATTTTGTTTGGCAGAAACAGAAATCTGTCCTTAAAGCAAGAGTTGTGATTCTTCTGCCAGTAATTCACTGCAGGCCCTAGTGAGGGCTGTCTGTGCTCCCTGCCCCAAAGTTACAAAAACAACCTCACATCCTGTTTGCTACTTGATAGTGGTGCTAAAAGTAAAGACTGCCCGTACATTCTTTGCAGGCCTTTTATCCTCTGTGCTTTAGGCAAGGGAAAGTCGCATTATGAAGCTAGAGAGTGAGGGTCTTCCATAAATTTTGGGTGGAGTCTCATTGAGACTCCCATCTTGCAGGGGTGCCTTGCCTCAGGGTCTGGAAGTTAATAACTCCCTTATCCTTCCCTCCCTCAGGCTCTGGCATCCTCCTCTTTATTTTTCATGCAAACTTTTTGGGTAAAGAAGTTATTGCTCGGCTCTGTGGACCATGCAGTGTACAAGCTGTAGTTTTAAATGATAAATTTCAACTTCCTGTTTTTCTGGTAAGAATTTCTGTAGTCCAATACTGAAAGTTCTTCTAACTAAAAGCTCATATTACTTAAATTTATATCTATATACCACTTGTTGGGAATGAGCAAATTCACATACTCATCCTAAATTTTTGTCAATGTTTCCATATTGTCTTAGAACCAACATTATTCTGAATGTAAATTCTTAGGACATAAGAATACCATAAAGTATTCTTAGGACATAAGAATACCATAAAGTATCAGATCTCTTACCATCATAATTCCAAAAAAATATTTACTTAAAATTTAGGAAACTTTAATGCCTCAAATTCCTAAATACAACCATTGTATATACTGGTTGTATTTATGCTCATTTTAGTCATTATCTTTCAGTGGCTATAAATTTTTGGACATCATAAAAGATCTTGAAGAATCTTTATATACTTCTTTTGCCACTTCAAAAATTGTTTCCTTGGGCTGAATGAGACATTTTTTCTGGATATTGTTTCTATGATTTGTATCTTTTTAAATCAAAGGAAAAGAAATTGTAGGACACTGATTTATACACGATTCTCCATTGGAATGGAGAAGCTGAGGGATGAGGATTACAAATTCGAGGCCAGTCTGGGCTACTTAGTGAGACCCTGTTTCAAAATTGAAATACATAAGGGTTGGGGGTGTAGCTGAGCAGTAGAGTGCTTATCTAACCATTGTGAGAATCCCTAGTACTAAAGTTATAATCTGTTTGTAGATGTTGAGGTTTGTCTGAAAAAATGCTAACTTTGTTTCCTTGTCTCCTTCTACTCTAGGATAGTCATTTTGTTTACTCCTTCAGCCCTGTTGCAGGCCCCAATAAGCTCTTTATAAGGTTGACAGAAGCACCCTCTGCCAAGGTAAGAGTCCTCGTTTCATGTTTAGCATTACTACTCAGGTTGCTGTCCCATGATATTTGGTGATCATTTAGAAAAAAATTATCTTAGTCTCTGGAAATTTCAGTGTGCCTGTCATGGAGAGGAGTACTCCTTATGGTTAAGAGTACTGGATGCATGGGGGTCTGACTTGAAAAATTTGTAAGACAATGTGGCAGGAATGGGATGAAGGTTAAATCTGAGAACATCTCTGTCTAGCAGTTGTAACCCCTGTTTTAGGCATTGGTACTGCCATTGTTATGTCTAGACTATACTAATGCATACATTTTTCCTTTCCCTAGGTTAAGCTGCTGATAGGTGCATACAGAGTGCAGCTGCAGTGACCAAACAGAACTGGGATGGAGTTACTTTCAGACCTAGTCCTATGTACTCTTTTTGGAGCAGTTTGGAATTCTGGCACATCTAAAACTTTCAAATGTAAAGTTTCATCTGTAAACTTCTTGCAGTATAAGCTTGTCATCTGTTAGTGTCAGACTATAATACATATAAAATACAGATGTGTGCCAGTATTCTGCAATCTTAGCATTATATCCAGACTGCGTATTTCTTTTTTTCCACAATGTGGAAAGATACATGAGGATTATTTAAGAAAATTAAAGAACAAGACTTTTTCGACTCAATTTTCTACTGTCCTTGGTGAATCTCTGTGTTAAGAAAAAAAAAAAAAGCAAAGCATTTACTTACAGAAAAGGAGGCATCTGTACTCAAATCATCCAAGCACTGAATAAAGTGAATTTTCTGGCTGTGAAGGATGACTGATATACAGAAAAGGAGGCATCTGTACTCAAATCATCCAAGCACTGAATAAAGTGAATTTTCTGGCTGTGAAGGATGACTGATATAATGTGGTAATGGGGTAATTAATATAGAGGTTCCCCTATCAGAAAGGATGGAGGTGACAATACTTTTGTAAAGGTGCAGTGCCTGCTTAACCTTTCAAATGCAGCAAGAATTTAAACTAAGACTGTGTGAGGCCTATGAGCATAAAATGTGAACTTCTATCAAGTAATTTTGAAAAGCCATTTCCTGTACCCTTTTTGAACATGACTAGGAAGATTGGCATTGGGTCTCAGGTGAGCCTTGTTATGCCACTACATTATTGGATGCCACATTGTCCCTTGCAGGAAGGGACTGCCACAGACCTCATGACCTCTTCAAGCAATTGTTGAGTTCATTAGTTTCTCATTATGTGAAATAAACGTTTCACACAGTACACGTTGTGTAAATATTTCAGAAAATCATTTTGAGTTTATATCCTAAAACCACTTTTTTCTTTTTCCTCAATAAAACATGATCTTGGTCTGTTTCCTATTTCTTAGTTGTATATGGACACAATATCTTTATTTTATTTTTATGTGGTGCTGACAATTGAACCCAGTGCCTCCCACGTGCGAGGCAAGTGCTTTGCCTCTGAGCTACACAGCCCCAGCCCCTCCTTTATATCTTAAATATATAAAGTCTCAGGACTTCTTTCTAGCTAACTGATGGCTGGGATTGAACCTTTTCACCTCAGCATTCTAGTATTCTGATTTCATAGCTTTCTGGGGGGAAATTAGGAGGTCTGTGTTAGTAATGGTGCGGGTACAATAAGGGATTAATAATCAATGACATATAAAAGAATCTCGAAGTAAAATTTGCCTCAAAATTATCCCTAAGTTGAACAGCCTTATAGGAAAACATTACAAAGTGATCCATTTCATCAAGTAGATAGGGCTGTCTAACCTGCAAACCAATTAGGAAATCTGTATAGTTCCTCTAGAGTTTAGTATACTAGACAAATGTGGAAGCTGTAGTAAGTCAACAGGCAAAACTCGACTAGGAATGTGGACAAGTTAATTTGACCAAAACATGAAACTTAATGTACTAACAGCTTTCCCCAGATGTGACAGTAAGTTGTACATTTAGTAGAAACAGAAATATGAACCCACACAATTTAACAGTTATTTTGCTCTAACCCATAGTTTTTCAATAGATGGACAAAAAGCCCACTTGTGTTTGTGGGTAAGTAAAAATAATTAAATTCTGAAGTTCTGCAATAATGAAGAGGACTTCAATCAACTAAAAATTCCCTGGCAAGCTATTTATTGCTCATAAGCAAGTTCTCTAGTGAGGTAGCAATCCTTTGATAATGCTGCTTATATTAAGACTTTTACATGGCCAAAGTAATGTCCTTGTATATTTCAACTATGTACAATAATGGGCACTCTCAGGACTAGATAACCACAACAAATGGAATGCATCACTTTTGCCATGTTTCACTAAAAAAAAAAAAAAAAAAAAGTAATCTTTTATTACCCTAACTTAAAAAAAAAAAAAAAAAAGCATCATTTTCCTCTGTGACATTATTTTCCAGTGTATATAGAGGGAAGGACAAAAGTAACTGGGTTACTTTAAGACCTATTTTACTAGTGACTGCAGTAGAAAGTATATCACACATTCTCTGCAATACCTAGTACCCAAGAAAGTGAATTTACAAATGTTGAACAATGATAGGGAGCTAGTTTTCAGTTCAGGAACAAATTTATTTATCTATTTTTACCCTAATTTTTTAAATTATTGGGAGTCCCATGGATTGAACCCAGGGACATTAATCTGAGGCCTCCCAGCCCATTTATATATTTTACTTAGCCTCGCTGAGTTGCTTAAGACCTTACTAAGTTACTGAGGCTGGCTTTGAACTCACAATCCTCCTGAGCTACTGGGATTATAGGTGTGCACCACTGTGCCTAGCTCCATCTTGATATTCTAAATTGGTAGAATCTGATTTGGTATGATGATCAGGTTGCTTCAATTTGAAGTTCAGGTGTTACCTTTTGAGTACTAGTTTATATATCACCTTTATACAAGGAGCTATATATACACTTGGTCATGGATGTTAACATGTCAGTGCTAGCAAGAGTCAGAACAATCAAATGACTAAGAAAGCACTTAGAAAAGAGAAACTGTTTGGCATATAAACTGGGAGAAGCAAAAACGCTCAAGGAGAGCAATCAGCAAAATATAGGGAAAGAGCAGGATGACAAAAATCCAATTCATGAAATAACAAGATGAAGAATTTTGAAAATGCTCAATACTGATGAAATTAACATAAACTCCTAAAATTTTAAACTTTAAAAGTATATAACTACAGGTGTCAAATCTTAATAAGTAGAGTTAAACAAAGGCTCATTGATGAAATCCACATTCTGATTGGCAGATTATGCTCCTTACAGAACACAGCTGGGATTCCTAACCCTAATTTTCCCTCAAGGTATGAAAGAAACCTTATCAGTCAACTGAAATCTAAGCATTACATAATTCACTACACACCTTTGCTCATAGCCCTCAGTTAAATGCATGCCCTGAGTTAAATCATCTGCTTTATTTTGGTGCAGATGATTGAACCCAGGACTTTGCGCACACCAGATAAGCCCTATACTATTTTTTTTTAAATTTTAATATTTATTTATTTTTTAGTTTTCGGCACACACAACATCTTTGTTTGTATGTGGTACTGAGGATTGAACCCGGGCCGCACACATGCCAGGCGAGCGCGCTACCGCTTGAGCCACATCCCCAGCCCAAGCCCTATACTATTGAGCTTGCCTCCACCCCAATGCAGAAAATTTCTTCAGTCTAAAATTTCATGACAGAGAGGATGATCATAGTCTTCTAGTGGTTTCAGTAAGGAAGTTTGAAAACTCATAATTTTTGAGTTTGTGGGCTGTACCATAATATTTTTTCAAAATCAGCCAGTAAGACCACCACCACACCAAGTAGTAGGTAACACCTAGATTTAATTTGGAAACTTAAGTTTATGATCTAGATAACCACTTTTAACTGCAGAAAATGTTGCCCTGGGACACAGAGTGTTATGATTACTCATTCATCTATAAATTGTTCATGTGGAAGAATCCATAGTGTTTTCTTGCTTGTTTCTCCAGTGATTTGACCTGAAAAAGAAATTGTTTGGTTAGCAAGAAGTAATATCCATAGTATATTTTTATTACAGAAGGTTTTATTTAAATAAAAAAATTTAAAAGGTTTCATTCTAAAGGTTTTCGTTTTTGTTCTTAGTACTGAAGATTTAACCCACTTTAAACCCATTCAGTGCTTCACCACTGAGACACATCCTCAGCCCTTTTTTATTTTGAGACAGAGTGCTAAGTTGCTTCACTTACTTGCAATCTTCCTGTCCCAGGTTCCTGAGTCAGACTACAAGCACACAACACCATATCCAGCTCTAAAAATAATTTGCTGGACTAGAATCATGGAACAGCAGATGTAAAAAATATTCACAATTTGAATTAGTACATTTGACCTATAAAATTGTTCTTTAATCCAGTGGCTCAGGCCACTGGTTTTACCTAAAGTGAGCTGATACATTATCTAAATACCTAGAGATATACTATAAAAGAAAATGTCCCAGTGCAAGGTTGCATCACTTGGGAGCTAAAATGTACATTCTTAGGCTTATGTCTCAGAGAGCCCAGGAGCACTTTCTAACAAACCCTTCAGGGGATTCTGTAATACAAAGTGAAAATTTCTTGAGTCATGTCTCTCTGTGTGTGTCTCTCACACACACACCCTCCACTGTGGTGCTGGGGCTTAACCTGATCCTTGAACATACTGAGCAAGCACTCTGTCACAAAGCTCATACCTAGTCTTGGGTGTGCTTCAAAAAACCTAAAGAAGAAACTGCTTTAGGAGCACATGGCATTGGGTTTGATCTTGGGGTAGGGTATTTCTTAACTTCTTATAATAAAAGCAGCGTCTGTAGCCTTCACTAGAATTATACATTGTCTTTTTTTTCTTTTTCTTTTTTTTTTTTGGTACCAGGGACTGAACCCAGGCACTCAACCACAGAGCCACCCCCCCACCCTATTTTATATTTTATTCAGAGACAAGGTCTCACTGAGTTGCTTAACACCTTGCCATTGCTGAGGCTGGCTTTGAACTAGTGATCCTCCCTCTTCAGTTTCCTGAGGAGGATTACAGGTGTGTGCCACCAAGCCCAGCAATATATTTGGCATTTTGATTACTTAACTTTCTTATCTTTATTTATTTCCACTAACATTCTTAGAAAATGAAATCTATAACAAATGGCAGTTATTTTAACCAACCAATGACAAAGTCATTTGATAAACATAAAATTTCTTTCTCTACCTCTGTTTAAAGGCCACTTAATGCCACAGCTTTGATGTGTAGCAAAGATACCTCTGTACATTAGATTTTCCATTATCTATATATTTTGAGATTGCTTCACATTTTATTTAAGGAAGGGTATATACATATACAGCCATTTGAAAATTTAATCCCAACAAAATGCCCATATGTATATCAAGTTATTCTCTACAAACATTTGAAAGGGCAATTCTTTCTTTCTTTCTTTTTTTTTTTTTTTAAGGGACCATGGCTTTTATTTTGTTTATTTACATTTTTATGTGGTGCTGAGGATCGAACCCAGGGCCTCACACAGAGATGTGCTAGCGAGCACTCTACCGCTGAGCCACAACCTCAGCCCCAGAGCAATTCTTTTAAATTAGTAATTCCCTGATTGATGGTTCAACCACCAATCACCTAAAGGCTTTAAGAAAACATCCCCAAAGTGTTCTGGGGATGGGGTCTAAGAATGTATATTCTTAATAAGTTTCTCAATGATGTTGCTCAGAGCCACATTTCATAACCAAAGCCCAAGATTAACTTTCTAGAGTTGGAAAACAATAAGCAAAACAGCTGTCAATTTTGTGGTGCATGAGCTGATATTCAA